GGAACACAAAGGTATTGCGTGGGAACACAAAGGTATTGCGTGGGAATGCAAAGGTATTGCGTGGGAACGCAAAGGTATTGCGAGGGAACACAAAGTTATTGCGTGGGAACACAAAGGTATTGCGAGGGAACGCAAAGGTATTGAGTGGGAACGCAAAGGTATTGCGAGGGAACACAGAGGTATTGCGAGGGAACGCAAAGGTATTGAGTGGGAACACAAAGGTATTGCGAGGGAACACAGAGGTATTGAGTGGGAACACAAAGGTATTGCGAGGGAACACAAAGGTATTGCGAGGGAACACAAAGGTATTGAGTGGGAACACAAAGGTATTGCGAGGGAATGCAAAGGTATTGCGTGGGAACACAAAGGTATTGCGAGGGAACACAAAGGTATTGCGTGGGAACACAAAGATATTGAGTGGGAACACAAAGGTATTGCGAGGGAATGCAAAGGTATTGCGTGGGAACACAAAGGTATTGCGAGGGAACACAAAGGTATTGCGTGGGAACACAAAGATATTGAGTGGGAACACAAAGGTATTGCGAGGGAATGCAAAGGTATTGCGTGGGAACACAAAGGTATTGCGAGGGAACACAAAGGTATTGCGTGGGAACACAAAGGTGTTGCGTGGGAACACAAAGGTGTTGCGTGGGAACACAAAGGTATTGCGTGGGAACACAAAAGGGGGAAAAAAATCCCCCATGTCCCCTCGTGGGCTCCATACTTTTCAGTGTTAGRAGGATGTGTTAAAATGCTGTTTCTATGCATGAAATACCACGTAGAGCTCAGTTTCTGTTTGTTAGCAGTGCTCAGCCGTAATGAGAAGAGTAAACAGAGCCAAATGTGGCCCTCGGTGAAAATGAGTTTGACATCTCTGGCTTAGGGTATAAAAAAAGAAAATGTGAATAGAGAACAGGTGTAGATGGATTTCTGGAGCTGGCTGTAAGGAAATAAAATGGTGGCACAGGGAAAACACAAGCAAACAAAACACAAACATTAACAGAAAAAGGAAACACTGATAAAAAAAGGTGACATGACAATTAAAATAGACTACTCCGGCAGTTTTCCCACATATTGAAATGCATCACTGACTTTGTGAATTCAATATAATCAAAGCATTTTTTCTTCAGGGTTTGTGTTACTGCTTGAAATCATGCAAATTCGCAAATCCCAAATCTTATTTGTCTTTTGGCAGCTTTCTTCTGCAGGGATCACCTCAGTGGGCAAACTCACATGAAAGATTTGGCAGTTGTTTTATTATTGCATAAAACTGATTTGTGCTTTGGAAATCACTCTGATCTGGTTTATGGACATGATGTCGTGCACCGTGAAGGTTTCAGTCTTCCTTGTTTCTGACAGTCAGGTGAAATTGCTGCACATGTACAAATGCATGAACACCTTCCGGTCAGTACTCATCATTGCCAAAACTCAAACATGTATCTGGTTTTCAGATTCAGCACATAACAAACTCTTTTCATGTATAGTTTCAGTAAATAACATTTTCCCGTACTCCGTATTTTGTAGTGCAATTTTGTGACTCATGATTATTTTCTTGTCCGAGTGTGTTTCCTTTTTTCCCCACAGCAAATATTCTGTTTATTGCTTTTCAGCCCACTCCTCCCCCACTTTACACCAACTGTGGGGTGTCATCAAGAGCTGGTGGTGACTATTGGTGAAGTGAGTTTGAGAAGCTAGATTTCTTACAAATCTGTAAGTCAGCCTCCTACTTTGTCCTGAGTCACAGTCTGCAGTAAATGATCAGACAGATAGATAGATAGATAGATAGATAGATAGATAGATAGATAGATAGATAGATAGATAGATAGATAGATAGATAGATAGATTCTTGTTTTTTTCCCCTTTTATTATACCATCTATTTTATTTTTATAGATGCTCATTGCGATGTCATAAAGACAGCTTTAATTAATTAACAATTTCTAGCGATAACCTTTGTCTTTTTGACCCGTTGCGGTTTCCGTACGTTTTGACGCACACGTGCATACGTATACGGAAGTGCTGTTGTAAACAAAAACGTACTACCATTAGCGTTCTTTTCCAGAGCCAAAACATTGATATATCTCATTGTCTGCTGTTTATCCGAGGTAAGTTTGGTTGCGTCAATAGTTGTTGTGGCTCTGTATTTACTGTATGCAACAAAAAGAGTAGATTAAACACAAATACAGTCCCTCATGTTTTTTTTTTAGCTAACCGCGTTAGCTCGTTGTTAAAAATACCACTTTTGGTTAACTGTTCTTTCAACAGAGATGCATGTCTCTCGGTTTTGGTAGCCCTTGTACGTATTTAGCAATTAACTTCGTTTGTGTTAGCTAAATGTGTAACAAAACTAAACGTAATACCGTTATTGTTTCAGTAGAAAACATTTATTTTCTGCTACTGAACCGCTGTTTTGTTTTGAAAACATTTATAGTTTCTAAAGTTTCTTTGCTAACAACTATTGCAACAAAGCGAGCAGACTTTTTGTTCTTTCGCCGTTTTAAATGTATGAAATGTACTTTTTGTATTTTCCTAAAGGAAGTGAAAAGTTACTCTGATTCCAAATTGTGTTCCACTTTGTTAGGT